CAATTGCAACATTCACACTTGCCTCAAGCAGACAAGAGTTTTTCTTCCACCCTGGACATTCCACAGATTTATAAATCACACTTTCCAAAGTTTCAAACAGACCTCACAACCTCTGCGGATGCCTGTCATAGGTGTGGGTGAAACATCAGGAGATAATGCTTCTGGAACATGGCCATACAGCCCAGAAACCTCACAGCAACCCAGTAATTCTGGCCATGAAAGTCTGCTTAATTTTGAGGAATAGTTGTATTCCATGACTACAGATGAGGGCAGAAGAAGACTTTCCTCTCAGCAGGGGATGGGAATCTGGCAGCCTTCAACATGTTGGACTGAAACTCTCAGCATTCATCACCCTTAGCTATGCTTGCTATCGACTCCCTTGGCTATGCTGGTTAAGGATGCTGGGAGTTGCAATCTGACAACATCTGGAAGGCCTCATCATTCCCACTTCTGCTAAATAGGCAACTGGGAAGAGATGGCAGGATTCTTTTAGATTGACCTCATTTCTACAACTTAGTTTGCCACCTGGAAGCAGCTTTCATAATGCCAAACATCTCTGGGAGCTGCCAGTCCTGATACATAAAAGGCTGCCCTGCCCTGACCTCAGCAGAACAACCCGGTTTCTTATATTCAAAACTGTAGGCCAGAGAGGGAGGGTGGCAGCGTTACAGTCAGAAGAACTCATCCTTGAATGAAACTGTTTTAAAAGAGCAATTTATTTTTCTATGTATCAACCAAAAGCAGGGGCAGAAACCCAGGCAGAAATGAGGGCTGCCCCCCTTTCCTTCATTGTCAGGCAGGCTTCTTCACAAAACAAGGCTCCCCGAAAGACATTTGCAGCACACCAGGGTATGAGCAGGGAAAGGAGGTGTGAGGGGCTACTTTCCATCACCTGTTATTTTCATAAACAAAACCAGTCCCTTAAAAAGTACCATCTCACATCCTGTGGTGTGCTCATCGTCATCTGCCCACATGATGGCTGACTCATTCAAGTCCGGCACTAATTCAAAGTCACTTCTAACCCTCCTTCCCTCAGTTGACTCCATTTTTTTGGATTTTTAAAAGAAGCCCCACAGAGATTTTGAATATTGGCCAGCGTGGCCAGATTATAGCAATTCCTTCATTCATTCAAACTATATTAGTTGCATCTACTTCTCGTCTTTCTTCCAAGGAGCTCAAGAAGGCATTGAGGATTCTCTTCCTCCCCAGTCTGTCCTCACTACCCCAAGAAGAAGGTCAGGGAAAAATTGAGACAGAGAGGGAGAGATTGAGAGAGAGAGAGGCAGGTAGACAGACAGACAGACAGACAGACAGACAAAGACAGAGAGAGTATGATATGGTCCAGAGTTATCCCTTACACTTTATGCTTCAGCGTAAATGTGAACTTGGCTTTTCCAAGTTGCAGTCTAGTTTCATAACATTGGCTTTATTGTTTTCATTCTTAAGCTATTTTGTAAGTCTCACATTGATGGGGTGGGATGGGCACAAGGACAATGGATGAATGAGTGGAAATTATTATTAAATTATTATTTTCTCACTTTTTGTTCAGAACTATGGTTTAATTGGCTCTCCATGTCCATGGCTTCTGTATTCACTATCCCTGACATAAAAATAATTTATTTTCAGAAAACCATCCTTGATTTTGTCATTTTATAGAAAGGGTACAATTTTACTGTGCCATTGTATTTAATGAGGTTCAAGCTTCCACTGATTTTGACCATTCACAGAGGGCCCTGGAACCAAGGGCCCACTGTGTACTGTTTTTAAATGACTGTTGAACATGTGCTTTGTCTATTGCAGTTGTCTGTCTGGCACAAGTGTGGAAAACTCAGATGAGAGCAAGGGTCAATAAGGCTATGGTCAACAAGATGCCGTGCCCCTGTACCATTTCTTTGAAAATGTCCTCAACATTACACTAAGTTTTGTTTAGAGAAAAGGTATTCTCATCATCCCATCTCTTCATAGCTACATGTGGGAGAGAACTTCTCAGAGGTGGCTCCTAGTCTCTGAAACTCCTTTCCTAGAGAGGCTAGACTGTTACCCTCCATGTTATCCTCCTGGCAGCTAGAAAATTACTTTAGTCAAAATCCACTAATACAGTTAGGTATGAGTAATCTAGAGTTAGGCATTTGTAATGGGTTCATATTCACAATCCGTATATATTCACAGCTTTAGGGAATGCATAGTAAAGGGAAAGGTTTATCCGGATATTAAGTTTAGTTGTGTCCAACTCTGGGGGGTGGTGCTCATCTCAATTTCTAAGCCTAAGAGGCAGTGTTGTCCATAGATATCTCCAAGGTCTTGTGGCCAGCATGACTGCATGGAGCACTGTTAATTTCCCGCTGAAGTAGTACCTGTTGATCTCCTAACATTTACATGTTTTTGAACTGCTAGGTTGGCAGAAGCTGGGGCTAACAGCGAGAGCTCACCTTGCCCCCCCCCCCGGATTCAAACCACCTACCTTGCAGTCAGCAAGTTCAGCATCTCAGTGGTTTAACCCGCTGTACCACTAGGGAATGCATAGAGACCATGGAAGTCCATCCTGGCAATGAGAGTCTGATGTTTCCATCCCTCTCCCACAAACAGTCTTCAATGTGAAGGGAAATTGTAACAAGAACTCTGCTTCTACCAACTTCTGGAATGATTCCATCAGTGTTGCCTTTGAAAAACCTTTGAGAAGACAGGTGGGCAATCATCAGCGTTCTGGAAGAAGCAAAGACCACCAGCACTGAAGCAATGATCCTCTGGCATCAACTTTGCTGGACTGGCCATGTTGTCCCAATGCCCAATTACCATCTCTCAAAGCAGGTACTTTACTCTCAGCTCAAGAATGGAAAATTGAATATTGCTGGACAGCAAAAAAATATTTAAAGATGGGCTTAAAGCTAACCTTAAAAACTGTGGCATAGACACTGAGAACTGGGAAGCCCTAGCTCTTGAGTGCTCTAGTTGCAGATCTGCTGTTAGCAGTTAGCAAACATGGTGTGGAATTCCCGCATACATCCCGCATAGATTACTGCAACGCGCTCTACGTGGGGTTGCCTTTGAAGATGGCCCGGAAGCTTCAAATGGTCCAGCGTGCAGCAGCCAGGTTGCTAACAGGAGCGGCGTTCAGGGAGCACACAACTCCTCTGCTGCGCCAGCTCCACTGGCTGCCAGTTTGCTACCGGGCCCAATTCAAAGTGCTGGCTTTAGCCTATAAAGCCCTAAACGGTTCTGGCCCAGCCTACCTATCCGAACGCATCTCTTCCTACGAACCCTCCAGGAAGTTAAGATCATCTGAGGAGGCCCTGCTCTCGATCCCGTCTGCTTCGCAAGCACGCTTGGTGGGGACGAGAGACAGGGCCTTCTCTGTGGTGGCCCCTCGGCTGTGGAACTCCTGCCTAGGGATATTAGATCAGCCCCCTCCCTCCTGACCTTTCGGAAGAGAGTAAAAACCTGGCTCTTCGAGCAAGCATTCGGAACCCCGGAATAGATAGTCAAGCTTGAGATGGAGAATGACCCAGGAACGGCCAAGACGATGAAATGGACGAGGATTGGAATGAGAGGATATAGCTCTTTTTAAATTGTCATTGCACTGTCTTTTTTGTATAATTGCACTTAACTGTTTTTGCTTTTGTATTGTATTGATGGCATCGAATTGTGCCGATATGTAGACCGCCCTGAGTCGCCTGCGGGCTGATATGGGCGGGATATAAGTGATGTAAATAAATAAATAAATAAATAAATAAAGAGGCACGAATGGAGGGTGAAAGGAAGAAACATGTCAAGAGAAAGATGTATCAAGCCAATCCTTGTCAGGACTACCTTCCACCTGGAAATGGATATCCTCAATGCAAAAGAACATGTGGATCAAGAATAGGTCTGTAGTTACAAACGGACCCACTGCCAAGATCCTGCACTTGGAAGTCATACTCGACCATGAGCCTATGATAGTCATACAGCATTCTGCTGTACTGCAAAGGAGTTCCTTTAGTGCTTCACCAAACTTGAAACCACAGGATTCCATTGAATGGAACCATGGAAGTTAAAGTGGAATTGTAGCATTATAATTATAGTGTCAATGGATCCCAGGTCTGTGTCCATTTATTTTTACAACTAATAAGATCCATTGTGGTGTTGTGGTTTGAATGTTAGACTATGATTCTGGAAATCAGGGTTCAACCATGGAAAACCACAGAGTGATCTTGGGAGGGAGTCAAAGGCAAACCTTCTTTAAACATCTCTTGCCATGAAAAGTGTGCCCTAAGGCCACCATAAGGTCTGAAGAGACCTGAAGGCACACAATCACAAAGTTTCTTTGTAGTTGTGTGCCTTCATAATTAGCTTCATAATTAGCGGAATCAGGGTGGGGACAGATTAAAAGATTGTTGCAGTCCCTTCCAACTCCAATTCTGAATTATCAGTGAAAATGTGGCTGCTCCTAGATTTGACATTTGAGTTAAAACACCACAAACAACTCCTCTTTATTCTGTGCTATGTGAATTGTAGCATGGTACAGGCAAATCCCCGAGTTACAAACATCTGACTTATAAATGACTCACAGTTAAGAATGGGGCCGAGGCAACAGGAAGTGAGAGAAGTCTACCCCTAGGAAGGAAAATTCACTACTGAAAGGTTATTATGGGGAAAAGGGGGTCTCCACTGAAGCTTTATCACCAATCCACAACAAGCCAAATTTTCAAAATTCAATTATCGCAGGGACAGAAACTGAGGTGAAATGTTATGGAGAGGGGCATAGACAGCAAAACAAACACCACAGGGATGTTAACCCTTCCCTAAGTTACCAAAACGTGTGTGTGTGTGTGTGTGTGTGTGTGTGTATATATATATATGGGGGGGGGGGAAAGCTGGAGTTACATTTTAAAAATGTATCTGCTCTGACTTACATACAAATTCAACTTAAGAACAAACCTACTTATTCAACTTAAGAATAAACCTATCTTGTTCAAACTGAGGGACTGCCTGTAATTATAAAAAGCACACCAGTTAACATGGCATTAGTTAAAAGGTATTTATTATTTTTTTAATAAACAAATATTCATAATAAACTCTCAGTGCATTAAAGGTACAGGCCAGCCTTTTATTAAATAATCCACTCCATGCATCATTTTGGCTCTCTTTTTCTCTTTTCATCCACAAATTCTCTCACACATATTCTCACATATGGAACTTTGCACAAATGGGTCCATATCCATACCTCTAGTTAAGGTTTTGCTGTTTGTGGTATGTATTAATGATGTGGGCAGAGACAATGTTTTCTATTCGTCCATTATTTCCTAGGACAGAAAACTGAGAAATCTGGTAACATTTGGGTCCATCAATAAACATCTCAGTTTAATTAATATGGAGCCCTTGTGTCTTTCTTCACAAGGATGAAGAAAGGACATTGCTTTTAGGGAAGAAGCAAAGTTTTTAGTACGAACCACTAAAACTACTTTCATACACATCTATCTACATTCATTATTTTCACTGGCTTGTAATGATTGTGGCAATGAGGAGACAACACTTTCAATGTTGCATTTCTTCATCCTGTAGAAATTCTCCTTTGGCCCTTTTCATTCAGCTGTCTTGACGGTGACAGACAAGAGAATGGAGAAACAAACATGATAATATATGCTCCTTTTTATGAAAGGAGCAAAGAAATACAGAAATTACAAGAAAGCCATTCATCAGTCCTAGCTCCATCCCAGTTCCCTTTGGGAACTTTTAGTCCAGTGGGAACCATTGATACAAAAACTAAAGGCACATATCACCAGTTTTCAACTGCCACTTTCATTTTCCTACATTTTAGACAAAGTAATCCATTCAACCTCAGTGGTGCTTGTTGTGGGAACTGATAGGCACATGTGCATGCGGTTCCTCAATTATGACAAATTCTGTTTCTGTATGAGATCTGTGGATGAATATGCTGTCCATGCAAGGGATTAAAGAGAGGGTGCTGCAGGTTTCTATCCATTCGTAAAGAAATCACTACTGCAAAGGATAGGTTGCTGTCAGCAGTTTATCACAGTTCTTTTCATACTGCTTGGTGCATATGTCTCTGTTGTTCCTCCGATGCAATCCAACTTGGAACAGTGACCAGGTCTGTTTGGAATCCAACCCAGAGCAGAAGTCATTGGCAGGACTGTGAGACACACCAATGCTACTTTCCAGTGTTAGCTAGAATCCTGTTGTAGCCTTGCATTGGTGTAAATGACTGAACTTTTAGGGCATTGTGCATTGATAGCATTCAACATCCTAGCCCTGTGATGCTAATGAAAAACCACTGTGCATGCCCAGGAAGTTTAAAAATACTGTCCTTAGTGGCAAGTGGGGACTGGAGTGACCACTGTGCAACAGGAGACTGCATAACTCATTGTGCAAAGGGTGGCACAGTGATGCAACCAAGTCTTACAGCTCAGCTTCCCTTATGGGATTGTATGCTATGCAACTGAAAAGAGGACCACAGCCTCAGTAACACATGGAGAAGTACTGCTGTTAAAAACACAACAGAAAGTTCCAGGACAAAGATGTTCAAAATAAACAGCATCTCCTTTTGCTCTATGTGTTTTAATTTGAAGTGCAGCATTTCATCTCTTTCCCACTAAAACATCACCTCTTCACAGCTCCCATAGTCACTCTCCACCATGTCTGAGCCCTCATAATTAAGAGGTGATGCCGGCTGAGTTCTAACATTGGATGAGGAGCTCATCTCGCAGTCTGCATAGGAGGGTTGGGCCACACTAAGCCGCATGCTCACCCTCTTGTACCCACTGTCCGGATGATAAGGTGCTCTCTCATTTTCTATTAGCTGGGAAGGGTAGTAGCTAATGGCAGTGTATTCATTCTGACACTGGGAAGCAGGTTGCTCGGCTGAATTAGGAGGCAAGAAATCTTCCAGATTCTGGTTGCTGTAGCGTGGTGGGATAGGGGCTCGCTTGTTGTTTTGGTCAAGTGGGAAAGGGAAGCCACCATAAAGACCAGCTGGGTCTGAGTCTATAGGAGGACAGGGCCGATGGCGTTGAGAAGGTGGAAGGGGGGCTTCAATAACTTCATATTGATGATAGTCTTGGATGTCAGCAGGCTGGTATCTTGGAGGCCAATAGATTGTCTCTCCTGGGTACACTGCAATAAAAACAGAATTCTATTATTATTCCTTAATTAATGTGCAGTCTGCAAGATCATGATTATTTCATAGTGCTTTATGAGATCTTGTACACTGTGATGGTGAAATAATAATATGGAAGATGGTATATAAAAAGCCAATTCCTTAATGCATTAATCAATCTATCTAGCTATCATTGGAGAGCAAAGTACAGCTTTGCAAAATTCTTGTCAAGCAGTTATAGTAACAATCCACTGAGACTAAACTTCCCATCAGACATCAAAAGCTGTTCTTTTACAGTTGGTGTGTTAATGTCAATACTAATAAGAAGCTCTGTGACAAATGAGATTGCAGGGAACTCTTAATAAAGCGTCTTTGTTTGTTTGGGCTTTTGGCCATCTGAATCACATTTTCAAAGACAGACTACATGCTAGAGAGTGCAGGATATATTAGCTGAGGTCTAATAGTGCAACACTCTCTCATTGTTGTACCAGAAGACTAGAAAACTTTTAGTAACACACATCACACAGGCACACAATTGTAGCTGAAGGCTCCTGGGCTCAGCCCAACTTCAAAGCATCCTTCTACACCTGGTAAAACGTTTTTGCATAAGGAAGTACAGGACACCTAGTTCACAATGCTATACAGTAGTATCTCGCTTATCCAACCTTTGCTCATCCAATGTTCTGTATTATCCAACGCAGTCTGCCTCCCACCCGGAATAATGTCCAGGGTGGGAGAAAGAAAGAACCTTTGTCTGTTTTGGTGCTAAATTCGTAAATACAGTAATTACTACATAACATTACTGCGTATTGGACTGCTTTTCAGACAGTTCGTTGTAAAACATGATGCTTTGGTGCTTAATTTGTACAATCATAACACAATTTGACATTTACTAGATTTTTCCTTAATCCCGCCTTATTATCCAGCATTTTTGCTTATACAACGTCTGCCAGCCTGTTTATGTTGGATAAGCGAGACTCTACTGCACTTTGAAACAAGTATATGGAATGTAATGTTTTAAAATGCTTAATGTGTATTGATTCAAAATTGATTCTAATTTTAATGTTATTGGAATTGTATGTGTTTTAAGGCATTGAATAATTGCCTATATGTAAGCCGCCTTGTGTCTCCTTCGAGGTAGAGAAAGATGGGGTATAAATAGGGTAAATAAATAAATAAGGTGTTGTAAGCTACCTGCAGGAGTCTGACCACTAAGCTTTAGACTCAAGAGTTGAAGACTCCCACTATCCTCTATTGCTAGCCATGTTTTTTTTGGGGGGGGGGGGAATGGAGCACAACTGGAGCATCACATATATGATGTCCTGTTGCACCATCACCACAACCTTTATAGAGGGCTGCTGAAAGCAACCAAAAAAAAATGAAGACCATGATAATATTGTAATGCAGAGTAAAAAGGAACACCTCATCTTAAATTGATGAGCCATGCTGAGAACATCATGCAGTTTCATTACCTCATCCAGAAAAATGGTCCACATTTCATCACTTCAAATCCCACCCCAAGCTTTTGTCACCAGTGATTCATCTTTGGCTGCAGTATTCAGTCTTTCTCTATATTTTAGCAAATTTGCATATAAATAGAGGAATTTACTGCCACAAGATGTACTTATAGCTTGCAACTTAGATGGCTTCAAAGGGTGAATGGACAACGCACCAGGACTGTGGAGCAGCTGGCTGGGAGTCAGCTGCATTAATATCACTACCGACCGAAAGGTCATGAGTTCGAAGCCAGCCTGGGTCGGAGTGAGCTTCCAACCAATTTGTGTAGCTTGCTGTCGACCTTTGCAGCCCGAAATACAGTTCCATCTGTCAAGAAGGAAATTTAGGTACCATGTATGCGGGGAGGCTAATGTAACAAATTTATGATGCCCTATAAATCTCCAGCAAGCATGCGGGGAATGTGGAAGTACTTCATCAGTGTTGGATGGTGAAGAGAAGCTCCCCTGGTGGCCAGAAAAAGTTGGAATGTGGCATAGCCTCTGTCAGTCTATATATGTTGTGTGTATAGGCAATCAGTTAACCAATGTGTGAATAAAATGCTGCGCTAAATTGATTCTGATCCATCATGGTTCTTCTTACATTGATTCTTTATTCAACCATAAATGGGTTGGGATTGTAATTTTCTTTCTAAACCTATGGTTTTTCTCATGCCTTTCTACCCTAGCGATATTTGATGATAACATCTCCCCCGCCCTTCTAGCTGGCTTCCCTATTAACCTGCCCTTGAAGCTTATATGCATTATATTACTTTGCTACTGGCATTAAATACTCATAGTTGACCTGCATAACCTCCATGTTAGAAGCAAACCAGGACAGTTGGATGAACATGAGAGTTTTGGACAGTGAAACTTGCCTGAAAAGCAATGGTTACAATGTCTGTTTGAGCTTTATCACTGTTCAGCTTGCCCACAGCTGTGCCTGAATAATTCACTTCCCACCACCATCATAATTCACCAATATATTACTGACCCTTTGTGTCACATCTGAGTGGATGTTAAAACTAATGGCCAAATACAGAGTGCTTTATGTGTGTACATGTGCATGCTGTGAGTTAGAAGCATTAGCAACTCAAATATATTCAAGTAAGGAAACCATTTGAACTACACTGAATTGGACTTAGATTCAAACTATTTATTCCCTTCCTAGCCAAAGCTATTCTGAGTTGATTTCATGTTATCAAGGAGTCATTCTTTCTTGTAGAAGGAAAAAAAACCCTTCAACAATCCCATATACAGTGTGTCATATTAAATTTCCCTCTAACTGTTAAGCTGCTTCATTCTTTTAAGTGAGAAATAAATACAGGGTCTCTATGATGCAATGTTGTTTCTCCTATGGTTACGGGTTGGCTCAGGTGATGTTCTCAGGTATGTGCTGGATGCTTCTGTGCCTGCTCACCCAGGAAAAAGTGGAGCAACTTCCCCCCTCTTATCCTGGGTGATCAGCTTAACTATGTTGACAGAAACTGTAACTGGAGCTATCAAATATTTCATGATGCACAGAGAGCTGCATTTGAAATTAATGGAAGGATATCCTAAACAGGAAGGGAAGACTAAATATACTTTGAATGCTGGCAAACTGAAGTCTCTGTAATATACTTTTGTGCAAAAAGTTTTCTAAATGGGAATATAAGAATGAAAGAACCCAAGAAGAAAAATGTTGGATCAAAGGCATTCTGTTCCCACAAGAAGGACAGAAAGGCAAAAGTAATTCTTTGTTTTGTCAGTTGGAAACCTGGGTTATGCTACCTCTGATAATTGAGAAAATAAATACAGCAGGGACTAGAGGCCAGTGGGTAGTAGTCACTGATAACATAAGGAGCCGTAGTGATGCATAGGGTTAAACCCTTGTGCCGGCTGAACTGCTGACCTAAAGGTCGGCAGTTCGAATCCGTGAGATGAGGTGAGCTGCCACCTGGCAGCTCCAGCTTCCCATGTTGGGACATGAGAGAAGCCTCCCACAGAATGGTAAAATAACCAGGGCATCCCCTGGGCAACGTCCCTGCAGACAGCTAATTCTCACACCAGAAGCGACTTGCAGTTTCTGAAGTCATTTCTGTCATGATAAAAAAAACCACTGGTAACATTATCCTCCCTTAAATTTCCCAATTCTCTTTTAAAGTTGTCAATTGAAAGCAATAACAACCTTTTGTGACAGTGAATTCCACCATATAAAATAGTAGTAGTAGTAAGTAGTAACAATAATTTTATTACCTGCCTCTCCTTGTGGCTATGTAGTGTGTAAAAAAGGGTACAGTCATATCCATAGGTTCTTCACCCACAGATGGCCATCCAGCCTTGGTTTAAAAGCCTCCAAAGAAGATTGAGGCTCCTTCTTTGGGCACTTTTAAATTGAATCCAGATGGCCATCCGCCGGGAGCATTTTGATGGTGCTTTCCTGCATGGCAGGGGGTTGGACTGGGTGGCCTTTGTGGTCTCTTCCAACTCTATGATCCTATGATTTAACCAACCATAGTTTGAAAATATTTGAAGAAAAAAATCCAAAAGGCAATGCCTATGTAAGGGCCCCCTTTTAGTAAGACATTGTATGTAATGGAACACAAGCACCCTTGGTATCTATGGAGGGAGAGATCCTGGAATATTGGTTTATATATTTTAAAATTGACCCTTTTTACACAAAAAGCACTGGCCATCCATGAGAAGATGGAAGCAGAGAGAGGTGACCTTGCTGCCATCAACAAAATTCAAACTTAAAAATTTAATATGGACATGCCACTAGTTTTACCTACCTGCGCCCCTGCCCAAACCCTACATTAAGGAATGAATCAATTTTTAATCTTTTAATTTTTTTTATCTTGTAGTTGCACAATCGTTTAGGAGTGGGTTGACAGGCCAGTAGGCCGGGATGCCTTGTATTCATATATGGTTTTACTGTATGTATGGGCAAGTGTGTATGTTTTGTATGTTTTGCATGTTTTGATATGGTCAAAATTGACTAATCAATAAAGAATTGTTGTTGTTGGCTATTGGTTTATGACACCTTCCACACAAAAAATGTAAAGCTGTTGTGTGGTTTACTGTGTGAAAGGAATCTAGCACATCAGAGGGAAAGGGAAAGAGAGAAAGAAGGTCAGACAAACCCATCTTTTCTCCAGCCCAGCTGCTCTTGATGATGGACTCATTGTCTGAGTTAGATGAGGGTGCAGGAATTGGGAGATTGGGGGCCACACTGCACACAATGGCACCCCGTTGTTTCTGGACATTGCTTGTGTTGAAGGAGATGAACTCTGATCCAACAGTAGGCTTGCCTGGGTCTAGTGCATTGAGCTGGTTGTGATGGTGAGTATCGTTGAGAATGTTGAGTTCAATGGGAGGAAGACCTTGAGTGCCAACCCCAACACTCTTGGAGAATTCACTTTTGGAAATCAGGTCCGGGTCCTCTTTAGCAACTGGTTTGTGGGCTTTGACTTTGCGGCCATAGCGTTTCCGTATGACAACGAACATTGCTACCAGGATGATGACACCAAAAACGCCAGCAGAAATCTTGGCAATCTCTGCAGGGGCCAGGGCCCAACTGGATGGACTAATATTTGGAGTGATAATTTGCTGTGTGCAGAATGCCCCCTGGAAGTCCTCTGGGCAAATGCAATGGATGGAGCCATCAGAATTCACACAGCGCCCAGAGTTCAGACATGGATTTTCCTGGCACTTCTCTGCAAGTTTTTCACACCTATGGAACAGATGATAAGAGAGATCTGTTAAAAAAAGGTGTAGTATTCTAAGAAATAGCCTTGTTAGTCTCTTGTCACATAAAAAGGGGGAAGTGAAGGGGAGAAAAAAAACTACATCTTTCTGGATCATTTTTCATTCTATTCCATTCTTCCAGCTATGCCCAGACCTTTAAGCATGCATTTTAAATGCATGTCCTTTGTTTAATCACTATTTTGTGTATTTTAATATGTATTTTATAGAAATACACGTAATAGTGTGGTGGAGGCTCCTTCTTTGGAAGTTTTTAAACAGAGGCTGGATGGCCATCTGTCAGGGCTGATTTGAATGCAATATTCCTGCTTCTTGGCAGGGGGTTGGACTGGATGGCCCATGAGGTCTCTTCCAACTCTTTGATTCTATGATTCTATGATTCTAATATGTAGCTTTTATAAGAATATGTGTTAATATGTGTATCTGTGGTATTTTTGCAATGTTTATGTGTTCTGTAATCCACCTCGAGCCATGAGGAGAGGCAAGTAAGAAATAAAATTATTATTATTATTATTATTATTATTATTATTATTATTACAAATACACTTTATACCTGAGGCCTTAACTTAACACTACTTGGTACTACAACTAAAATGTGGATTTATATCAATTAAAGCACATGCTAATTAATCTTAAAGGGACTGCTTGATTTTTTTCTCTCCACCTCCCTTACTTCTTTTTAAGCAGAAAATGTGACACTAATACACGCTTGTCTATGAAATTAACAGTGTTCTAAGAATGACACAGGAAGAAAACACAAGAATCTCAATCTAGCAAAAGTTAGATGAGACTTGATCACATTTCAAACCAAAGCTGGTTGTAATGATTTTATTGTTACCTCGGCAAATGAGATTAATTAGATATATAGCCTACTGTGTATTGCATGCTCAGAGAAGCAAGCATTCCATTTCCTTTATGTTAGCCATAGTTAATTGTTTTAGCTATGAGTTGTTCCATAGATGATCAAACTGATCAGAAACAGAGAAAACAAACTTTGATTTGTTTTTCTCCTACCTCTTTTGTCAGCTTCTATTTCAGGGTGCAAAAACAAATCAAGGTATGGTTTCGGACTCAGACTTTAACAATAAGCCGTGTTTTAAACAAGCCAAGTGTTCCGAAGCTAACAATACACCTTATTTTTTTAAACTCTGGTTTTCAGATGGATAACAATGTGCTTCATTTGCAGTGTTGGGTTTGGACACAACAAGTTAGTTGAATACACTCTGAATTAAAATTATACCCTAGATAATATTTCTGGAAAGGTCCTTCTTCTCCTTGTTTTCCTAATGACATATCTATAAGCCTTCTTCTTCTTTTTCTTTTAAGAGGGGTGTGTTTTAGTTTTCCCACTGAAAACTTTAGTATTAACATATATTTGCTTCTCAGATGTATCCTATAACCTACAAAATGACTTTATGTGCAGGGGATTAGCACCACCTACTGACCATATGTATATTTTCCTCACAGTTCCACTGCAATGAATTACTGTATAAGGTGGACTTTCAAGATCAGCAAGCTCCTGACCTGCAATTGCCACTGACCCTGGATCATCACAATCTCTATGGTGATGATGTGAATGTGGAACCGATGAAATATCCACATACACATCACTTCTATTTAACAATATGGGATTTGATGATCTGCCTTTGTGGTGGTTCCAAAACCAAAATTCATCCAGGCTGATCCAGAGGGGACACTCTACTTCCATTTTCACTGACGATCTCAAGCTAGATTGCTTTCCAAGATAAAACTAGCACAAATTAGTCTTCAAATGTAAAAAATTGGTTTTTTGTTGTTGTGATATGCAATAGAGTTTTCTTCCCTTTGGGAAGTACAACTCTCAGAGGATGGAGTGAAACCTGATTGCAATGGTTGTGTTAAAAGCATCATGATGGGCAGTTCAGAATGATAAAAATATGAACTGAATTGGAGGGATGAACATGTAGGTTGCAGTCATGGGTTTCATTTGTTTATTTCGTTTTGTTCATTCCGTTCAGTCTATTCGGATGGGACGGAACGGTACAACCCCTTCAGAAATGGAAACATCTGTGAAATAAAAAGGTTGGAGGGGGGCTGGCCAGGCCTACAACCAAGTGCTCAATGTTCATAGGCCTGGCTGGCAGGGCCTACAGCTGAGCATCAAGTGCCGGCCCACTTGGATGTAGGCCCTGGCTTGATGCTCATAGGTCCGGCTGGCACGGCAGGCCGTGGTGCTTTGCTGCCCAAGGTTTTAAAATATTCAGTTTTTTTGGACCTTGGGCCGAAAAGCTCATTTGTATAAGCACTCGTTTTTGGAAGCAGCAGATGGAAATGGAATTAGGGCCATATGAGTGAGACAAACAGACACGGATAGCGATTCCATATGAATGCACGAGACTAGTAGGTTGTTTAAGAGACTCCTTCTATTATTCAAACCAATGGCTTGGCAGGGGAGGCAGCATTTAGTAGGGCTTCTTACCTTTTCCCCCAATACCACTCTGGGCAATGGCATGTGTAGCCACCCTTCTCAGAGAGGGCACATGTACCACCATGTAAGCAGGGCTTGCTTTCACAAAGTCTGTCGGTCACCTCACAGTGGTCACCAGAAAATTGTAGGGGGCAGGTGCAAGAATAACCTGGTGCAAAAAAAAAAAGGAGGTTAGCAATTTTAAACGGGGACAGTAGAAACACATGAAACCAGTATGTACTTTAGATGATGGTGTTTTTTGGTGGACAGAAATGATGTTGTTTGTTGCAACAAATTCTGTGAATAGCCCATTTACCAGAGTCATCCATTCTTGGGATGGTCCCTTCCTCTGCATACTAAGGACCTCATCATATTTGCTGCTGGAATTGCCATGGAGTGTCGCGAATTTGATTGTGCTTGGCGTGGGGCACCCTTTGCCCCACCCACTGCATTGCCCAGCCTCCTCCTTACCTCATCCCATGCGGGAAGCATCTGCCACCTCGCTTCCCCCTTTTGATCTCTATGCAACATGGGAAGCCTCTTGAGTTGCTACTCCAGTGGCATATGCTGGTACCCTTTCTCTTTTACCATGGAGCCTCGCTGGAAGTAGCTGCTTTGTGGGATGGGTGCCAATGGGCTCCATGGCAAAAGGGAAGAGGAACCGGCATACTTTGCCAAATTTTAGTGCATCTGATGAGGTTGTAAAACCAAAACTGGGTAGCAGAGGAACATATTTACTGCCCAAAAGATTTCAGTCACTAACACTGTGTGAACTGTAACAACAAGCAGCAACTACTACACACTGCATCATCCAAACAAAACACAGACATCATCCCTACGCCTTTATTTTGCAGAGCTTGAAAACTAGTCACCATTTCATCTGCTTTCTCCCAGCCATTTTCCCTGCTAAGTCATGAAGCATTCTGGTTTTAAGGGTACAGTTGAGTAAAACATAGTCTATATTCAGATATTAACCTAAAGGCTATTTCAGCAGGTTACTCACACACTTCTACATTGATTTAGGTATATGTGTAGATTTTAGAATAATCCCTACATGTTTTCCAAAGTATGTGCCGCTTATGTGGGTAGAAATCAGCAAGGATGTGCCTCTCTGTCTATGAATTTTGTCATTCAATATGTGGGCAGGAACCAACAAGTTCTGGACTGCCAGAACCAATGCTAAAGTTAGTCAGAATAAGTCTGCCACGCCAGGAAGTTGAAGCTGAGGAGAGGAAAGTGACAGTGCCCCTGCTATTCCTTTTGAGCCCCTAGCTCTTCCCTTCTCTGAAAGGACAAAATGCTGTGTCTATCCATATCTAGTCTGATCTCACCAGTGCAGTGATGATTTGGATCCTGTTGCCATTGTATTGAAGTAAGTTTCAGCTGCCAGTCCAGTCATCCTCTCTATATGGGGACACTATGTTGTCCTTTGTTTCAAGCATCAAAATATCTTAAGATAGCCTGACTAACCAGAATCTTAATCTCTATGGTTAAAATGAACAGGAAGATGTGTGTTCTCTGCCTTTTGCCAGCTGCTAACTTGTCAGAGCATGCAACTTGGCAGCAAGTATCAGGCAAAAACACCCCCCAAAAAACAAAACAAAAACAAAACCCTGCACATGCCTGCAAAGGTAATTCCAAGAATATCTCAGTGCATCTCTCCATGATCACACACTGAGATCAACATCGTCCCTGCAGATCTATTGGTTTTAAGATGCAAGACAGGGCAGGGAGCAAGCACTGCAAGCTACGGAATACCTCAAAAAAAAAATCAGTGCAGTTACACACATGAATTGTGGCAGGGATACAATTCATTGACAGGGACAGTAGCAGGAGAGTATAAATCAGCCTCTCCAGCCTAGTATGTGGGAAAGGTGTTTTCTTCTTCCATCTACAGCACCCAAAGTTACCCCAAATAATCATCTTCTGCTTTGTGGTCAGCAGCACATGGTGAGCAGGCTGGATTGAAGAAATGTCTGGTTATATCTCATAGCCAGTCATGAAATGAGTCCTTTAGTGGTAGCATATGGCTCAGGCTAGTATAAGTCAACAAGCAGACTGAACTCCGCTATGCTGAGACATATAGGTTGGCCATCCACGATTTCCTGTTATTTCTCTAAATTTATCTAATGCTAACACTTCTTCTCAACTCTCAGTTACAACACAGCACTTACCTCCATTTTTCATCTCAGTACAGAGTCCATCATTGAGGCAGGGATTGCTTCTGCAGACCCCAGTGTGAGGGCAGCATTGCCTAACACCTGCCTCTTCAACAACTCCTCTAGACCTCTTCTCCTTTGGCAGAGCCACCAAATCCCTTCCATCGACTGTAATGGCATCCAGGCAGCCTCTGAACCCACTGGTGACCCTCTGAGCCTGATGATGCTGCACAAATCCACCAATGAGCAGATCTCTCCTGGAGTGGGAAACACTGCAGGCTTCTGGCAGCTGGAGAGAGGCATTTGCCAAGTTGTCAACAAGCAAATGGATGGAATGGCTCTTCACTTCCAGAAAGACTGAGTGCCAAGCTCTGTCACTCACAAAATGGTTGGATGAAAGGTTCCCGATAAAACCACTCCTACATCTGTATTCCAAATGAGGTATTCCATTGACAAGCTGCAAAAAACAAAAACAAAACAAAACAAATGAACAGCCACAATTGTAAACAACACTTGTATGGGTTTATAATAACTGGGACTTTTAAGGTGCTCTGCAGATTTTTTCAGTTCCTGTGGCTAAGAGGTTGACTATGGTGCTTAACTAGTTAAAAGTTATTATTTCTCTATCAGGTTGCATAAAAATTAGTGAGGCAAAGAGGGGCCAGAAAATGAGAAAAAGTGTATCTGGAGGGCTATGTTCTTCCTATGTTGCTAAGGGTGTAGAGGTGTTTACACCTTTGAATTTCACATAGATTCCAAAACTACAGCCAAAAAAAAAAAAAGGAGGATGATATCAGAGTGCAATGTTCCTGCTTCTGGCAAGAAGTCCTGAGTGATGAAACGCATCAAGGGAAACGTAAACTTAAAAGGTTCACAAGTCTGATCTTGAATTAGTCTCCTTCTGCCTCTTCCTAATCTGTCAACATTCATGTGGATTATTCATGTGGAGAGGAAATGTGCCACAGAAGATGCCCTTGAAAAACATTTGCACTAATTAAAGCACAGATTTAAGTCCACTTGTAAGTCCCAATGGCATAATACCTATTCATTTCATTAATTCAATGGGTCTAATTCTTGTTAGGGTGAATATGGATTTAGGTCATAGTTTCAGTCTTCAGACCATGTTTTTTCTAATAAATAAAGTGAATTTCATCTTGGCCCCTTTGATTGGGTCTGTATTGCCTCAGGGCACTTCCAGACAGCATGAAAATGTGGGTCTAAGAGGGAGAACCGAAACAACAACAACAACAAACACCCAGGACCTTAGAGCAGGTCCCTACACATACCTGGAGGTCCCAGGATTCCTCCACCCGCCATCCTCACAGGTCTCCTCTGTCTCAGAGACAGCACATAATAGGGTACAATTAAAAAAAAACTTCCTCCAGATTTCTCCCTTCCCCTAATTGTTTGTTCAAGCTCTGTTTAATATTATACATTTTAAAACAAAGAGTTTCAGAGAGTTCTTAATGCTCTCCATTCATGCCTCCTTTAAATCAGCCGTGTGTCTGTTTCACAGCCCAAGCAGCTGATCAGCTGTTTCTGGCTTTAAAAAAGCAGACATGTGCTGGAACAGTCTCCACAGGAGGGAGGGAAGGAAATCACATGTTTTTGGTGAGTCCAGATATATACAGTGATGCAAATATGCATATTTTTGGCCGGAATCGGGATAAAAGGATAACTTTTTATCCCATGTTTTTCAGCTATTGCAGCAAATCAGCGCACATTTAGTGCTAATGTCATGTAGCCACCCCCTTTTTAACATGGGAAATCCTGTGTTTTATGTACTGTGTAGATGGGCCCTCAGTCTCCTGTGAAGAGAATAGGTCCTTTCCTAGATTTGGAGTCCACAGGATAACATCAAGTTCTGTATACTGGTAAGAATTTTTATAAGCCACCCTGAGTTCCTACAGGGAGACAGGGAAGGTTAAAAATAAAGTTTGTATTATTATTTGTTTGTATGATTGTCGGTTAGTTTCTTTGAATATACATTATTTTTAAAAAGTGTAAAGTCCCAAGAATATTTGCATCCAGTTTGGGGCTATTTTTTCCAGGGCATAAAGGTTTGGAGAGGGATTTAGGGGCTCTTAGGAGACTGCACATGGAGTACTAGGGGAGTTCATGTGATCCAGTGGCCACAATTTCCCCATCTCTGTTGTGCAGCAACTCAAATGGGCAAATGTCTGCCATTTTGTTGATTTGTTTTATAGAAATGTAGTAATGTAATGAAAAAGCAAAATGGGCATTTCTATGGTGTTCCAGAGCAGCCACAGAAAAGGCCACGCCCCTTTTCCTATCAAAGAGTGCCTTGTCTGAACTAGAGCCTCAACATAATGTAGGCAATTGGCAACCTGGAACAACCTTTCAAATGGTTCCAAGCCATTTAGGGATTGAAAGATAATTACCAAGACATTAAATTAAGCCTGGAAGCTAATTGGCAATCTTCACAGTGGCTGTTAAGAGAGATGTAATATATTCCTGTGGATAGGTGCCTGTTAGTACCTCTGCTGCTGCGTTTTGCAAGAACCAAAGTATCCAAAGACCCTTTGAAGGCAGAGTTCATTGCCATAATGCCTTAAAACAACTATCCCAAACAACATCCCATGTTTCACCATGATCAAATGACATCTACCCAGGATAGGATACTACTGTCACCCACTTTAAACTATGTGAAAGCATTCATAGCTATTATTAAAAAGCAAAACAAAGATGCAAAAGAAACAATGTATATGAATGGAGCAGGCCTTTCTTTAGCACCTCTTGAGTGACCAGAGCCTCTTGAAGTGATGTGCACTGGATGAAAATGCTTAAAATATAAAATACGTAACTATTTTTTTAAAATTCGAAACAGTCAGCCAAAGGCCAACTGAAAAACCATACCCACACTGCTTGAAGGGATGGAGTCAGCCTCAGGAGAAAGTTTCACAGTCAGGAATCTCTTGCTGGGCTCCAATTTTTATGAGAACTATAATCTTGGGGCTTGGTATATTTAATTCTCATGCTGTTCTCCAAATGGGAAATGCCCCTATCCTTTTCTCTACATCTGATCTTAATCCCACAAGAGAAAGTTAAAGTCTATGTATTTTCTTGTTGTTGTTGACTCCGATTGAGACTTCTTGTTATAATAGTTTGTGCAAATATTTGTGTTATTCTTAAACTAGAAAGAACAATCTAATAGTAAACTCAGCACTTCCATAAATCAATCTCAATGATACTAGCAATTGTATACAGGCAAGCAATAAAATTAAGCCCAAGCTCATCAGATAAAAAATTACAGCACTCCTTTCCATATAGAAAAATTTCTTGGGTTTAGCAGATAAAATATTACATTATTTGTCTGAAAGGTGATTTTAGAACTTATCTTTGGGTAAATATCACAATAAAAATACTATCTAGATTAGCTACAAGGTCCATGACAATTTATTTCAGACCTTTCTTGATGGTAAATTACAGGTATGTACTATTATTTGGGATAATGAGGACAACCATCCAGGCAGGACTTTTCTGGGTAGGAAGAGATATGTTTATCCTCTTGGGATAGGAATTATTCTTGTTCACCTTGCTGTTCTCAATAAATTGCATACCTGCATAAAGTACTCCAAAAAACCCCTTACCTGCAGAACAGCACTATTGCTCCCATTGGTAGTGAGCATTACAGCATGGAGCTGGTTGGTTTGCACACGCAATTGCATCTGCCAGTCCCTTCTGCCTTGGTAGTGGTACCAGATGTAACTGTGTCCATTGAATTTTATAGCTGTGCCTGAAAATGAAAGCAAAGAGAACAATGCTTTGAAGCAGAACAAGAGCATAGAGCCACCTTTCAGTGCCAGTTAAGCATTTCTGCTTTCAGGCTTTTTGATTCTTCTTCATATGCATTGTCCAACTGGGCTTCTCCAGACTGCAAAACAGTTATGCTTCAGTGTTTCATGATTTAAATTGGTTATTTCCACTCCTACATTCATTGTCTCCTAAATACATATAACTTCGTGTCTGGATTGTTGCAGTGCTGACTATAGTGGAATTTAGCTCTATCCTGTTCTGCACATTTATTTTCAACCACTCTTTTCTCCATCTGCACTGTAGATCTACTGCAGTTTAATATCACCATACTCGTCATGCTCAAAGATACGGAATTCTGGGAGTTGCAGTTTGGCGCAGTCCCAGCACTCTTTGGCAGGAAAGGCTAAAGACCTTGTAAAATCACAGCTCCCATGATTCCATAGCATCGAGTCATGCAGGTAAACTGCATTAGTTCTACAATGTGAATGCAGCCTTGCATCTGTCTCACAAAATTGAAAAAAATATTTTGGTTAATAATTGTGCTAAAATGCTGAACATTAGCACTACTACACTAAAATAAAGGAAAAAATAAAAGGAAATATTCAAGTTGCAAATCAGAAATGTAAAGAGGGGCGGGCAGAGGAAAACCTCAGTGGTAATGGTCATATCCAATCATCAGTGGAACTATCCAAAAGTAGGAAGAACCAAGACTAATTTGGCCTGTATCAGAAACCTTCCAAAAGGTGGAGGGGGTGTAGAGGGTTTAATAAGTTGCTGCTAATACCAGAAAATCACAAGAAAAAAAACAAGACAAGAAGAAAGTCATGTGACTATTATGGGAAAAATGCCCAGTAACTTCAACTGCAACTTCTGCTAAACCCTGAAGCTTTTGGCCAGTCTGGAAGAACCTTGTAGTTCGCATACTGGAACAAATAACCTGTGGTCACCTAGATATTGTTAGATTCCAATTCCAGTCCCCATCACTAATATCTAACAGGTCACTAGTTTCACATGTGTGTCTTATGGGAACCTGGCATGCAAATTGGGTCAGTAGTGGTTCAATTCTACAAAAGACTCACTTATCTCATAGCTCAGTCTCTTTTGACACTAGACTACACCACCCCTACCACCCTAAGTCACAACAGTACTAATGGACCTCTATATTCCATGGTACACCATCCTATACTATTCTCTTGATTTCTTCTTTCCAATCCATGTCACACAAGAGAATCTGACAAGGAGCCTGATTCCAAGAATAACATTCCTTAGTTCAGAAACAATTCTGGTCTTGACTTGTGGAATTCACTAACCCACTTGTTACAGAGGAGAACAACAATGACTATGTTTGTGAAATAAAAGCAAAATAATGTTGGTCATGCTATAATGCAACAAAAGACAGATAATCCATTCTCACCATTGCAAGAACATATTTGTTCCAAGTTATGCTGAAGAGTGAGGACACTGAGTCGGGCAGTACTGTAAGTGAACACCATGCCTGGATCAAGCTGAATTGTTTCTTTGCAGGCCCGCTGGGCAGCACAGTCAGCCTCATAGCACGGAACATGAGCCAACTTCTTGACTTGCAGTTCCACTAGCTGGTCCATTTCTGCAGCTGCTTGATAAATTTTGCTAGCAATGAAATTGGGCTCATAGAAAGCACGTCGTGGTTCTCCAATGGCCAATAGGAGGTCTACACCATCAGAACCCACTGAAGGTTGCAGACTTGCCATGTGGATGTTCTGCCGTCTGGTTTCTAAGATTCTTCCCAGAAACCTTTGCAGGTTGTGCCAGTGATCCCCTATAAACTCCTCTGGAGTAAGGTGGTGGAAGCGTAGCATCACAGCCTTATCCAAGGTTTCCTGGCTGAAGGACCACACATGGATGTGGACAGTGGTTGTGGCTGCAAATGTTCCATCACTGACAGTTACATTCAGAGCATAATGTCCATGCGGGAGCCCATCGTCAGCAATAATCTTCCCATCTGTAGCACCCACTGAAAAGTATCTCTTTTCAAATGCTTTGGACACTAAAGTGTATAGCAGGGTGTCATGAGGGTCTCGATCTGTGGCATGGATTTTGCCAAGAACGCCACCTCGGAATGCTCTTTCATTAGTAGTGACAAAAATTTCCAGTGGAAGTGCAGAAGGAGGGTATCTGCTTTGCTGTGTCACTTGGATGTTTACAAATGCAGAGGAGGACAGAGGAGGGATGCCACTATCTGTGACCTGTTTAGAAAGGTGGAGTAAACTGTTACAGCTCTGCATCACCACATGCAACATTCTTGACCCTTGCAGGCTTTCCTCCCTATCCTCCACCCTCTGCTCAAATAAAATATCCAATCCCTTGCAGCTGAGGCCTTATGGAGAAATCTGAGCCTTTCTAATGAACTCTGCATTGGCTTAAACTTCTCAATGGAGTGTACACTGACAAATCTACAAATCCTAAGAACAATTCACAGTGTAACCAAAACTGGAATAGTAGAGATGTTGCAATGGTGATTTCAGTGAAGTTTTTCCAAAAAATTTGAGTCATCTTCTGAAAAGGAATTCAGCTTTGGGAGAGTCTACTCTCCCTTTAGCCTAGTAAACCACTGAGCCTGGACCAGAGCTTGCCAAAATTATTATTTTTCTGGAGGGGGGGGGGCAACTCCAATATATGAGATTTGAAAGTTCACAATGTAACTTTCCCAAGTTTCATTTTGCACATTTTATATCTTAATTTATAGCCAATGGCAGTATATTTTTCATGTATCTATTTAATCCTCCGTAATCTTCCTACTGTCTGTCATCATGTTATGCAGCAGCAAATTCCACAGAATCAGCTTGGCTTTCCAGGGCCATTGTCTTGTATTTTTTTTAATGAAACACAGCTGCAAGGGGTTGCAAATTTCCCTGTAGCAGTGGCAGTTTCTCCCAGGTGAACAAGTAACAGCCTACAGGTATGATTTTAACATGGTGGATGACTCAGTTCAAATGCCCCATCCACAAAAAGTTGTTCTAATTTAACTGAAAATCTCTCATGCAGTTATGACTGCACTTCATTGAAAAGGTAGGTGGAGACAGTTCACAAGCAACATGCCATTTAGCTTTACCTGGACATGCAGAAGGTATTGTTCTTTTGTTCTTCTGTTAAGGATGGATGAGGTCACCAACACACCATCTTGGTTGATCTGGAATGCCTTTCCTTCATTTCCTTCTATGATCTTGAAAGAGTATGGTGGCCCATTCTCTGGGGAGTCCCTATCACTCAAAACTAGCTCAAGGACACTGGTGCCAACTGGAGAGTTTTCCTAAGATGTTCAAAATACATTATTATTATTATTATTATTATTATTATTATTATTATTATTATTATTATTATTATTATGATGTTTATTTCTACCCCACTTTTTCTCTTCTCAAAGAGGCTCAAAGCAGCTTCCACAAGAAGACTCAAATATATACATACAAAATATATTTATATACATTTCAGAAAATCACCACTATTTACAGAATTGCTAATTTCCTAAAGCACAGAAGACACTCTGGAAAACACAAACAAAAGTTCACAGTTGTTCTAACTCAAACCTATCAGAAAAATGAAAACAGAAGCGTGGGAATGCACAAACAAACAACAAAACCCCATAAACTGGTTTTGTAATAAATATGTCCTCATTGTCTATTTGTAGACCAGAGATTCTTCAGCTATTTTACTATCTACTGAACTAACAAGGGCATGGTGCTGCTGTTAACATACACAATGCCTGGACTCTCTGGGGGCCACCATGTTGCAGTTCAGGGTGGGGGAGTGTGGCGAGTGGTCTGGCTGCTACAGGGAGTTTCATTCCCTGGCTGGATCGATAACTGATCTGCTGATTGGCTCCCAGCCAGACAGCCAATGAGCTTGAAGTGGGATGCTGCTTCCACATTAACCGGCTTGCAACCTCAACCTTGCTGGAGTGCCCAGATGAAATGTCCACTCTGGTCAGATACTGGGGTACTTAAGGGGTACTTAAGGGGCAGGCCCATAGCCAGGATTTCAATTTGGGGGGCGGGCTGAGTTTGTTTCGGGGGGGGGGCTGAGTCTGATTGAAAGAGGGTAGATACTAGGCTTGGGCGGGTTCGTTCGTTAATTTCGTAATTCGTTATTAATTCGTATTTAAATTAGCTTACGATCCAATATTGAGCCATGCAGGAATAGTGTGAGGAGTAAATTAGATTCGAAACAATTTTTTCAATTTATTTCGTAATTATTTCATAATTATTTTGTAATTATTTCATAATTATTTTGTAATTATTTTGTAATTATTTTCGCATGTCTGGTGCAAGTTTTATAGTTGTTGTTTGTTTTATCACACCAACAGTCAACAACAGAGGGAGAGGGAAGCTTCAGAAGTTCCCCCTGTCCCATTTGGAGGTTTTTTTAGCATATTGCGCAATCGCGTCCGCCATTAACAAATCGATTTGTAATTATACGAAATTTCGTATATTTCAAAATTTTTAAAAGGAAAATTTCAGAATTATTAAAAAAATGAAATGCAAGGGCCCCCTAAAAACAAAACGAGTTTAGAACCAAATTTTTCCGTGGTTACCCAAGCCTAAGAGGGTCTACCCTAGCAAACCTTTTGTATTATTACCCAAATACTCCCATGCATATGGGATATATTGAGTATGGTGATCAGATCATGATATGAATAAACATAACAGTTTAAATAATGCACCAGTAAGGCCTTTTCGCGAACCACCATGAGAATTTCGGGGGGGGGGGGGGCTGAAGCCCCTCAAGCCCCCCCCCCCGGCTACATGCCTGTTAAGGGGAGTGAACTGTATGCTTCAGCAGTTTGCTGTAAATCTCTTTCCATCACCTACCTTGCATCTTAAGAATTTCATGACATTGCTAATGGTCAACTTCATTTTATCGCATCTTAGGACCCTTCTACACAGTCCCTAAAGCCCACAACAGGTAACAGGTTTAGCTGGGTTGTCCAAATGATGCCTCAGATAAACCTGGATTAATCTGGAGAGAACTCGGATATCCCAGTTATTTCAAGATTAATTTGACACCTGCAAAGATTTGGACCTTAAGCTGAGGTCTGGATCTTTGCAGGTGCTGTGCGGATTGACCCCCGGGACTGTTTCTGCAGCCCTAGGGGTGAATTCACACAGCAATCTCAGTTCTACAGGCCCCTGTAACCTGAAGGAGTGGGATGGTGCCCACCCGCTTCCCCAACCCCCTTCTCCAACCCCCTTCCCCCCTCAAACTTACTCCAGGGGCCTACTGTTAGGGGCTTGCCAGAGGGATTTCTCTCCTCCTGCCCCCCACCTCTTGACACATCATTTTTGCCTGTCAGGAGAACTCTCTGGATGTGCCTGGAGAAAGTTTTTGAGGGATAATGGGAAGATGGATGTGGGAGGGTGTGGTTATTAAATCCCAGTTCCTCCTGGGATTTACTACAGTGTAGAAGGGCCTTAACTGTTAATTAACTTTGTTACATTATATAATTTAATACATTGTTAATTCACAATCGCATTGTAATTTTGCTGTATTAAACTTGTCACAACTTTGTAAAGGGTGGTTGGAATGGATTATGGATCCAGATTTGGGTGCGTTTGCATAGGGAACTGGCTGGCAAGGAATCCCAGTAGGAGGACAAGGAGAGAGGGGTTAGTGTGGAAGTTTGCTACCTCTCACATACACAAATCCTAAGTGACTGTGAGCCTGGGGCTCACACATCTCAGCAGGCTCTTTTCAGACCATATATAATTGGATTCAGTAATGGGACAGATAGCTCATCAATCGGCAGGTGGATTAGTCAATGTCTGGATGCAGACCTATCCTAATATTCACTGTAACCAAATAAAGTTGTGGCTCACAACCAGACCTCACAACCTCTGAGGATGCTTGCCATAGATGCAGGCAAAACATCAGGAGAGAATGCTTCTAGAATATGGTCATATAGCCCGAAAAACCTACAACAACACAAAGTTGTGGCTGTTTATTTCCAATTCTAATCATGTGTTCGTTTGCACTGTATTGACTGTGGAACGGAGCTTGCACTTGAACGCACAACTGCAAATTCAGCTTAAGCCCCCTGACTTTAGTATGTTGGTTTCTTATTACATGTAAGCCTGGGTTGTCTCATAAGCTCCAGGCAACACAGTAATTAACATGAGAACATAAAAGATTATCTCTGCAAAAGCCTAATAGGGTTAAGTCAGTGCCTCTGAATCATTACTTTACCTGAACTGCTACACTGTAATTGAGCTGAAAGAACCTTGGTGGATTATCGTTGATATCTGACACACGAATAAGTACAGTGGTATCACTAGAAAGAGGCCCCTGCCCATTGTCTGTAGCTTGGACCTTCAGCGAGTAGCTGGATATCTGCAAAGTATAATACATGCACAAAGAGGGCTTCATTATTTCATCAGCCTTTTAACTCTAAAAGCAAGGATTAAGCAAAGGATCAGTTAACAGTCTCCTTATTTTTAGTACCTTCTACTTAACGAGGATTTACGGTACTGATCAGTATTAGATAGTTTATAAATTCTCAGTGGGTGCTCTGAGTCCCCAGTCAAAGAACCTATATTTCATTGTCAATACAGAGGGGTTTGTAACCTTCTGAGGATGGTATAAATGTTAAAGGACTAATATGGGGGAAAAATGTGGATAAAGTGATTTATTTCTTGACTTTACTGCCTATATATATCTGATTGATCATTTGAAAAAGATGGAGATAGAGGTACGCTGAATCAAGAAAACTGTATTATTCTTATAAGGAAATTTGTTAAACGTGGTACAATAAAAGCAGGTAGAGTGGATAAGGTGTATATGCCAAACCAAAGAGCCTTCATGACAAAGCCTGAATTCATGATTAATCTTCAAAACCAGTTGCTGAATTCTATTGTCTTCTCCTTACAAAGGAACTCTGCCTCCTTCGACAAAACACCCTATCTAGATGACTTATATGTTGAGGGAATGGAGAGTGGCCCATTCTTAATGACTATGATGAATAACCTTTTTTATTGGTTCCACCACTATCCAAAGTGTGTCTGGTAAGGATGAAAGGGACAGCCTTTTCAGTGGCTGCTCCCAGGTTGTGGAACTCTTTTCCTTGGGAGGTTTGATTGGTTACCTCCCTCCCGTCTTTCCATCAGCAGGCAAAGACGTTTTCATTTAAGGAAGATTTTGATTTTAGGATAGGTGCCAGAGCTTTTAAAGCGGGTATGTAGTGTTTTTATTTTATTATGTTTTAAGTGCCTTTTAATGTTGTTTACATTTGGTTTTTAACTTGTGGTCTTTAAATAGAAATTAACTCATTTTTAAACACAGAAATTGAGTTTAACTGAATTTTAACTTATGAATTAACAGTTTGTTGCTGTTTTAGAATGTTGTATTCATGTTGGGAGAAACGTGGAATAAAAATTAATCAATGATAGGATATTATTATACAGAACAAATCAGGGCAGTGATGGCCACTGTCAGCTTCTCTTGTCATTTGGGGATAGTTTTTCCTTTGCCCTGGCCATCATATGGGGATCAGACTCACCCCAAGTCCCAAATGAGCCTGCCACTCACCTCCTCCCTGTCCAAGTACTTGGCAATACGGATCTCTCCAGTCTGGGGATCAATGATGAAATGGCTCAGTGGATTCCCTGTCACAATGGAGTATGTGATTTGGTTGTTCATCACTCCATCTTTGTCATCAGCTAAAACCTATTGGGGCAAAACAGTAGCATTGTCATCACATTCATGTGAAAGAACAAATAAAAGCTGAATGGAGAGAGAACTTAAAACAAGATTTTCCAAGATTAAAAAGAAGAAAAATGTAAAATTCAACTTATGGCTAGACTATGAATGAGGAATCAGATCTTACAGACTCAGGACAACGGCTCCCTTGACTGGGTCTAGTATCTAACTATAGTGCTGTCTTCTTATTTCACTACCGTTTTCTCCTTTATCAAGCATTATTGTTTTTTATAGAGAGTCTTATCTTCTAATGATGTTTAGTCATCTTGGCTTCTTGGTTTGACTTGCTCTAGATTTGATTTGCTCAATTTTCTATTTTCAATCTATTGTTTGATTTTCAGGTCTGATTTGCTCTAGGACTCATTTACTTGTCTGTTTAGCAGTCCACAGCATTTTTAGGACCATATTTCAAATCATTTAATTCTCTTCCTTTCAGCATTTGTCACTGTCCAGTTTTCAAAACCGTAAATAGAAACTTGAAATGCAATGGCACGGACAACTGTGATTTTGATATTTTGTGATCTATTTCTATACTTGAGGATCTTGATAGCTGTCCTTCCAAGTCCTAGTCTTCTTCTAATTTCTTGACTCTGCATTTTGTGTAATAACTGAGCTACAGGCTAATTGGCTAATATACTTTAAATCATATGATTCTTCAGATGTTGATGAACTGCAACTTCCAACATTCTTCAATGCTAGTTATACTGACTAGGGTTAGTAGAAGATCAAATAGGACAAAAATTGCATTCCCTATCTTAAACATTACTTTCTCCTGTTGTTTTTCACTTCCGCTGTTTGCAACAATATATCAAGAGAAACACCCATTTTTAATGTTAAGTACATACAATGTCTAATGCACAGACCTCCACAAAGGCGATTTGGATATCAAACAATAGTAGCAGGGGCAACAGTAGAGGAATCCTTTCTTAGGTCTTACCGTGAGCACAATTTCACCAACAGCAGCATCTTCACGGGTGTCAGCAACATAAAGATCTTGGCTGAACTTTGGCACATGATCATTTATGTCTGTGACATTGATAATGACCATGGCAATGTCACTGAGAGAGGCAGAGCTCTTTCTTGTACCCTCAACAGACAGGTAATATTCATGGCTAGTTTCAAAATCCAGGCTTCCATTGATATATAGGATGCCTATATAGAAGCAGAGACAACAATGATAACAATTTCTTTGAAAACAGCACACAACACTATACTAGCTTAGAAGTCCAGACAATAAAAAGAAGGAACTGCTTAAATCATGGTAAGATAAAGTATTCTGTTAAAAAAGAATTTGCAATCTAAAGTAACAAAGAGTTATTGCATGTTTTAAATATATATTTTTAACTAATAGAGACCCTCAAGTGATCCAATGAGAGCTAGCGTGATATAGTGGTATGAGCATTAGAATATGACTCTAGAAAACATGGATTAATTGTCACTCAGCAATGAAAACTCACTGAGTGACCTTGGACAACTCTCAGTCTCAAACTGTGATGCAGTCACTTTAAGGTCAGCATAAGCTGGGAACGACTTGAAGGCACACAACAACAATGGTACTCAGTCATGGGGTTTTCCTGCAAAATATATTCAGAGGAGATTTGCCATGCCCTTCCTCTTAGGCTGAGACAATGGAACTTGTCTAAGGCCTCTCAGTACATTTGACTAACCAAAGACTTGAACCCTTGGCCCACAGAATCTTAGGGCACGTCTATACTGGCCACTTAGGTTAGATTGAAACTGCCATAGAAGAAAGCAGTTTTGCTGTGTGGATAATTAGATTGCAAATTTTGGAAGCAGTTCCAGACCAGGGTGGTGATTACATAAACCAGAGTCCAGCCTCAAACCAATTCTAGGACCCACAGTATCCATGGCTTGACAGCCATACAGACTGCATTTTTTTCCAACTCCGCATTCTGGAATGCGCATGTGCACTTTAGTGGAGTGCTTTGGGTATCTGTACAGTGACTCACATTCTGTGTAGCTAATTTCACTGTGTGATATGGTTTACACTGAAGTGGACTAGTGCTCATTGAGAGCTTCATTTTGGACTTTTTCCCAACTTTGTGTTGGGTTAATGAGCTTAAAGTGTGCTGTAGCATACTTTTGAGGCATGTGTAGTCCGGGACTTACACATCCAGGGAGTCCCTGGTGGCACACTAGGTTAAACTGTTGAGCTGCTGAACTTGCTGACTAAAAGGTCGACAGTTTGAATTCAGGAAGTGGGGTGAGCTCCTGCTGTCAGTTCCAGCTTCTGCCAACCTCGCAGTTCAAAAACATGCAAATGTGAGTAGATCAATAGGTACCACTTCTGTGGGAAAGTAACAGTGCTCCATGTAGTCATGCCGGCTGCATGATCTTGAAGGTGTCTATGGACAACGCTGGCTCTTTGGCTTAGAAATGGAGATGAGAGCCACTCCCTAGAGTTCGACACGACTAGACTTAATGTCAAGAGGAAACCTTTACCTACCTTTAGTCTAGCTCCTGCATTAAAAGGTCAGTGCACAGCACTTAACTCACTACACTATGCTGGAACTCAAAACATTTTGTTAGTTCTTTGGTTGTTATTCTTTTGAAGTAGGAGCATTTGAAAGCTAATGCTTTTTCTATAAAACCATACCACTAAATGGTTGAAAGATTTGATACAGAATTTGTGCAGAATTTGGAAATTGACATTTTGTAATAAAGCTTCCAGAATGTTTGGTAATTGAGTCCATAAGAGTAATTTCTCCAGCTCCAGAGAAATAAATTAAGGGAAATTAAGGGTGAGCTCCTGCTGTTAGTTCCAGCTTCTGCCAACCTCGCAGTTCAAAAACATGCAAATGTGAGTAGATCAATAGGTACCACTTCTGTGGGAAAGTAACAGTGCTCCATGTAGTCATGCCGGCCGCATGATCTTGAAGGTGTCTATGGACAACGCTGGCTCTTTGGCTTAGAAAGTTTGCAGATGATACCAAATTGGGAGGAATAGCCAATACTCCAGAGGGCAGGAGCAGGATTCAAAACGATCTTGACAGATTAGAGAGATGGGCCAAAACTAACAAAATGAAGTTCAACAGTGACAAATGCAAGATACTCCACTTTGGCAGGAAAAACGAAATGCAAAGATACAGAATGGGGGATGCTGGCTCGAGAGCAGTACGTGTGAAAAAGATCTTGGAGTCCTCGTGGACAACAAGTTAAACATGAGCCAACAATGTGATGTGGCAGCAAAAAAGCCAATGGGATTTTGGCCTGCATCAATAGGAGCATAGTGTCTAGATCTAAGGAAGTAATGCTACCCCTCTATTCCGCTTTGGTTAGACCACACCTGGAATATTGTGTCCAATTCTGGGCACCACAATTGAAGAGAGATATTGACAAGCTGGAATGTGTCCAGAGGAGGGCGACCAAAATGATCAAGGGTCTGGAGAACAAGCCCTATGAGGAGCGGCTTAAGGAGCTGGGCATGTTTAGCCTGAAGAAGAGAAGGCTGAGAGGAGATATGATAGCCATGTATAAATATGTGAAAGGAAGCAACAGGGAGGAGGGAGCAAGCAAGCTTGTTTTCTGCTTCCCTGGAGACTAGGACGCGGAACAATGGCTTCAAACTACAAGAGAGGAGATTCCATCTGAACATGAGGAAGAACTTCCTGAATGTGAGAACTGTTCAGCAGTGGAACTCTCTGTCCCAGAGTGTGATGGAGGCTCCTTCTTTGGAGGCATTGAAACAAAGGCTGGATGGCAATCTGTCGGGGGTGGTTTGAAGGCAATTTTCCTACTTCTTGGCAGGGGGTTGGACTGGATGGCCTACAAGGTCTCTTCCAATTACTTGGTTCTATGATTCTATGATTCTATGAAATATAATATAAGAATGGGAAATGTTACATAATATGTTTTTATGAACAAAAATATGACTGAAACAATGAGAACAGGCAATAGGACCCCTGCTAGAAGTGAACATAAAAACATAACACTGGAGTAATGTGATTGATGAATAAAGAACCCACTTACCTGTGGTTGGATGGAGCCTGAATTTCCCGTGATCATTCCCATTCATGATTTCATACTTGATCTCTGTGCTCTGAGCATTGTCTCTTGTCAATGAGGCCAGATTCAAAACCTCTGTGCCAACAGCCACATCTTCTTGTACTACAACCACATACTCTGAGTCCAGGAAGACAGGCAGATATTCTTTTAGGTCCACTATGGAGACTGCCACAGTAGCAAGGGAAGAAAGGGAGTATGGGGAACCCCTGTCTGTGGCACACACAGTCAGCTCCAGTGCAGAAGTCTGCAATTCCATTAAAGGCTTTTCCAGATGGATCACTCCAGTTGTCTCCTCTATGGAAAAGTGGCCACTAGCTGACTCAGCAAGAGAATAGACAACTTCTGCATTATGACCTGGGAGGAAAGACACACAAAAGACAGAAATATTATTAGGAGAGAGTATTTTATTTGAGCAGAGTTACTTAATACATAGTATGAAGGACCTTATCAGGCATAGTCTTCTCTGCATCCTCTCCTCATTGCTGCAACAAAATCCATCACATGATGCAGGGCAACTTCTGGCAGGAATCTGTGGGGCTCCACTTTGGCAACGAGGAGAAACAGAGCCCAGAGTAGCTTTGGAGGAGTCAGGTAACACCCAACTCCAATTGGAGAACATGAAGAGGAAGCAGGGAAAGGACGAGAAACTGTGTGGGATGGGACACCATCCCAGAAGACAGTGAAAGGTGGTAGGGAACAAAGGAGGACAGTTCCCTCTACTTTCCCCCACTTTCCCTCTGCCCATCTGATAAGATCTGAAATGATGGTATATTTTGACCTAGGAGGTGTCTATGGACAACGTCGGCTCTTCAGCTTAGAAATGGAGGTGAGCAACAGCCCCCAGAGTTGGACACAACTGAACTTAATGTCAGGGGACAACCTTTACCTTTACATTTTGAAATGTAAACTTGTTTATTTAATTGACCCTATCCGTGGACAACAAATCTTAGCTCGCATTCTTGTGTTGGATTTTGGGTTTGTTTGTTTTGGTTGTTGTTTTTTTTCACTGTGAGATAAATACTTCCTGATATTCTGTTAGCTAGTTACAATGTTTTAAGTTAAACTTACAACTTTGTAACTGTTTT